AGTGAAAAGAAAAACAATGAAAAAGAAGAGATGCAGCTGGAAACCAAAAAAGTTCAAAAACCCATTTTTTTCGACGACTTCTAAGCTTCCTAATGCATTGTAGTTAGTAGATTTTCAAAGAAACGTTTTCTCTGGAAGAACAGCAAAAAAATTCATAAATCTTGCCCAATCCACAGAAAAAAAAAACAGATCAGCAAGTTCCTTCAATTCACACTAAAACTTTAAAGCTCTTTGTTTCCAGGATCTTACTTCGCCCGAAATCGACGAGTTACGAGACAGTTTTCAAACGTTTACACCTCATTCACCGAACGTAGGCAGTGCTCGTCGAAGTCGTAGCGGTTCATCGGAAAAGGAAGCAATTTCTCGATCGAAATTCACTTTTGCTCAGGACACGGGCATGCAACTCCTCTAGTTCAATGTTGAGGACTTGAGAAAAAAAAACTATCGATTCTCTTGTCTCTATTATGGGTTAATTATTCGATTCATGGCGATTCATGTACATTCGTTGATATCCGGTAGCATTGATTGCTCGATAATTCAGCGAAATTTATATATGGATATTGTTAGCATACATATCCATCTTATTTGAAAACTTTTATTTTTATTCGTTATCGATTTTTCCTAAAAGTTTTCCCTGCTCGTTACAATTGTCCCAGATTCAGTACACCAGTGCGAGTCACAGGTGTACGCATCATTAAAAAACCACCTAAAAAATGGCTTGCCTTTGAACGATTCTCAGCGGAATTATCGTGATGGGTATAGCATGATATCGCACCGTACTTGGTAGAAGCCTCATGGGTATATATTTTGGCTTAAAAACGATTGTACTATTATCATTATAGTGTTCAGGACAATACATGCGTTTCCATGTCGTGCAAGTCTAAGCAAACGCTCATCATTCTAAAATCTAAGTTCATTTTATATAAACAATTCTTAATGTTTTTCTGTACTAGGAATGAATAAATGAGGGTCTCTCCTACACTTCCTATGAAATGGTTTTAAAAAAGAAACTTCCATGGGTGTGGTTATCGTCCCACAAAATTTGAAGTGGCAGTGATCACGATGGCTTGAGGGTGGTACGGTCACGAAGTCATTGAACGTAACGGACGGGAAGGGGGTTAGGATGTGTTCCTTACCACTTCCCCTACGCGATAAAGGGTCAGGTTCAGCATTGACATTCTATACTCCTAGATTTCCTCTTTCGAATAGTCACAAAAGACCTCTGGGGATTCAATAGATGCTCAATTGGGTGGAGGTAGTGTGCGACATTCTTAAGCAGCAACCTTATAGATCTGAAATTATGACTATTTAGCCAACAAAAATATGCTCAAAAAAAGCGAAGTAGGGGAGAGACGTATATCTCTCAGAGCAGGCAATAAAGTCTCAACCCCCAGTTGTAGAAATTATTGCAATTCT